CCCCCCCCCCCCCCTGTCGGCAGCCTGCCGCCGGAGGAGCAGCGCAGCCTACCCTGCAGCAACAAGAGCAGCGGTTCGGCAAGCGCGGGTCCGGACAGGCGTTCGCCCTGGGGCTTTTCCAGATCCTCAAGACGGAGGATCCGAAAGTCATCGGGTGGTCCGCGTCCGGAAAGGCGTTTCGCATCGGGGACTCGGAGAAGTTCTGCAAGGAGATCATGCCGAGGTTTTTCAAACGTGAGAAAATAGGCGCTGTCTGTGTGTAGTGTACCGCTGAACCAGCAAGGCCAAACTATCGGGAGGGTATGCCTGGTAGACTATTCAAACCCGATGATAAGCACTGGCCTGTCCGCATGTTTTGTACTGAAGTTACCGCTGAACCGCACAACCATCAGGACCAGAATACGAGGAGATTTCGGCTATTACAGGCTTTTCAACCCCGAGATCAGCGCTGTCTACGTGTACCGCAAGCACACGAGAATGCCTTGCCCCTCGTGCGGCATTTGGTTGTCTTGGAGGGGATGAACCTCTTCGTTTCGATTGGTCGTCTAGACGTCCTCTGTGGCCTGGCGTCTGTCTTGTGGTATGTCACTGCTACTGCTGAAGGAGGACAGAAAGCATACAAGAACGATGCATACCATGCCTGCATTCCAGGGTATTTTCTAAATGGGTTGTCCATAGGATAATTAGAAGTTTAGGTTTAGGTCTTACACGCGAGGGCAAGATGAGGGGTAGTTATGTTTGAGCCCCCGGAAAGGAGAAAGGAGGGGTTCCGTATGGCACGACTGCCACAACGTAAAGACGAAGACTCCACCCCATGCCCTTCAACTGCTGTGGTCCTGTGCTACCTCTAGCAGGAAGTCTTGCTTTCAGTGATTTACGTATTATTTCTAAGTACAAAGATTTAGAATAGAGTAGCCTTAAGACCGGGGTACAGTCGTACTCGCTCTCCCCGTTTCTCTGACATGCAATGCACTGCTGTACCGAATCTCCTTGCTGCCCGGCCGTGGTGCGTCCGTCGTCCTCACTCGACTCGACTCGACCGATCGCCCTCGTGCAGAGAACAAGTACTCGAGCTTCCAACGCCAGCTGAACCTGTACGGGTTTCGTAAGCTGGTGAGGGGGAACGAGGCGGGGGGATACATGCACCCCCTTTTCGAGAGGGGCAAGCCGGAGCAGCTGAGCCAGGTCCGCAGAGGCTTCTTTCCAGAGGTGAGTTATCCACGTAGGGATGGAGGAAGCAAAAAATGAAGGAAAGGCAGCTGAATATCTGTGAGCCTCCAGGCCGTAGTGTGTGCTTGTGTCTTGTTATGTAGGTTGCGAAGGCGTGCATGGCTGAAGGCAAGGTGGCTTTGAGCGTCAAGGCGTTTGTGCTTGTCTTATTAGAGTTCGGAGGTGCCTCTATAGGAGGAGGCCTTTCCTCAGGTACGGAGAAAGATTTGAGCCTCGCTCAATAACACCGTAGGTGTTCATTATGACAACTGAAAGATAGGCAGCTTTGTGTTGCATACCTGAAGACATGTGTGTTTGTTTAGTGTCTTGCTTTGCGTGTGATGGCAAATGTAAGCGAGGCAACTCTGTGCGTCAAGACTTCCGTGAGTGTTGGTGTATCATTTTCGAACGCGCTCACCCGTTCACACGTGCGTGCAGTTGCGCATACAAGTATATAGCACCGCCATGTGTTGCCACCCCCGGCGAGGCGTGATTAGCTACGACTGCAAGTCCGGTTGGTTGATTTTTCGATGAGCACTTCCACACGGCCTTTGTTCTACAGCTCCTTTTACCTCAAACGCGTGGTGTAAGTTGGCGTACTACTGCCGTGTATCCGAGCGCAGGGCATGCTGTCCATCCATGGCTATTTTCAACCTTCCGTCATGTGTCCACTTCCACACTCGGCGAGAATATACCTCCCTCCTCCCCGCTGCTGCAGGCAAAGACGCATCCCCGCCCTAACCTCTGACTCGATTCACCCACCCCACCCCCCTCTCGACCCGTTCGGATGCGTAATTCTGATCGTTCGTACATGTACGTGCCTACAGATCCCTCCCGAGTTCGCGCACGACGTGCACGGGCACGGCCTCAACGATGGAGTGGGTGGCGGGGTCGGAGACGGCGGCAACGCGCCTAAAGCGGGGGTACGAGGCGGTCGCAAGTCCACCGACTCGAACAGGTTC